TCAGGAAGCGGTCCTGGCTGTTGGAAACCAGGCACCCCTGGTGGGTTGCTGCGGACCAGTACCCTTAGTATGCCCGTAGCACTCGAACAAAGGCTGCTGGAGTCAGCCTCTGGCAGCAATAGAAATTAATCTCCCTTTTCGTTCTTCCCAGCAAGCTTGTTTGCTTGTGCTCATGTAAAGTCAGGATATGAATTATTTACAGCGGGCTTTCCCTCTGTAGTAGTGGCAGAGTACCAAGCCGGATCGGGAGTGCTGGGGCGCGCTGGTGCTCAGCAGTTCTGCTGGATGTCCCCGCACCGCTTTGGAGCTGGGGAGCACAGCTCCAAGGTGCCTGCAGCGAGAGGCTTCTAGTCGACAGCGGGCAAAACCCCAGGTGTGTGGCATGCAGCATCCTATGCCTTCCACATGCACTGCAGTCTTTCCTAAATGAAAGAGCTTCGCTGTGCTGCTTAGGGAGGAGGAGTACCAACACCGGAGTGTGCTGCCATGGAAACACTGGTCAATTGATGTACCATCAATCCTAATACGAATCATTTCCCATGTTTTGGGCTTTTTTTTCTTGCTACAATCAGCTGATATTGGCTGCCTGATGTGTGTCACGCTGTATCTCTCCAAGAGGCTTGGGAGAATAACAGAACCTTTGAACAAAGCAAATTGTGTAGGCTGAGCTCAAGTGAATGAGGCTGAAGGCAGCTGTGGTGAGGCTCTGACTCCCTCGGAGCAACAGGAGGAGGGGCAGCGGGCAACTCTTGGCCGTCCAAGTAGAGTGGGCTGGAAACAGTGCTCTGCCATTCCTCGGCCCTGCTGGGGTCTAGAGAAGACACTCACTGTCGTTGCTGCATGGGGAAAAGTCAGAAATTCCTTTTTTGTCGCAGTTGGGGTTGAGCCAGGAAGTAGCCGTTTGATGAAGCCATATGTCGGAGGCCAGGTGAAGATGGAGGCATGTATTAGCTGTTCCAGTCCCGCAGTGGCTAATTCTAGGTACATCACATGAACAGTTTTTTTCTAGTTGACCTTGAAGTCAGAGATGTGTTATTCCTTCCCCTCATAGTGGAAAGGCGTGTAGATTTTTCCGTGCAGTTGTGGGCTTGCTCTTGGTGTCTGTCATTTCAGCTCCAGGAATAAAATATAAATGATGAGGATTTTCATTTCTCTTAAGAGCTGCTTGAGTTGGCTAGAAAAACTCGAAGCCTCTATTGAGGGTTAGTTCAGAACATGAAGTTGGTTAATACATTGCGCTGGATTTTCCTGACCCATTGTTAGTATGATTTGAAATAGCCATGAGTCATGAGACAGCTGGTCAGGTGAAGCTTTTTTTGCCTAGGGTAGGCCTGTGGCTGTATCGCAGTGGCGGAGTGAGGATGCTTAGCTGGATCTTCACTAGATAATATGTGTAGGAGTCAATATGGGTCAAGTTTGTCTCTCCCTGGGACATCTATATCCTCTCTCTCCTCCTACACTGGCTTCACTTGCAAGGAGCATGCAGCTGTTGGTGATGCATGTGGAGACCCTGTGGTCGTGCCTCTCAGCCTTGCCGCTCAGCACAGAGACATTGTTTCTTTGGCAATTATTTTGTACCCGGGCAGGATGAAGTTGCTCAAACTCCCACGGGATATGAATCATTGTGGTATGACACATTCAGCGGTTCTCACGCTGCTGCCTTTGAGAAGAGGCAATACAACTAGAGCTGTACAAGCGCTAAATATAAAACCTTAAAAAGGAGTTATTCTCCTCTGACCTGTTACAAAAATGCTGAAGGTGGTCAACAAAAATACCCTTTGCCATACTGGCAACAGAAGCGGAAGGTGCTTCTGTAATTGCTCTGTTCAGCCCCTGCCAGTGGGAACAACACCGTCATAGATGATTGTAAGTCAGCTTTCTTATAGCGGTGCTTGGTGGTACTATTTAGGCTTCTGTGTGCACGCTTCCGTGTGGAGACGTAGCAGTACTATCAGAAAAAGTGAGCCTGTTTAACATCCTGACCCTGACTTCCTTCTTAGTTCTTGCACTTTCAGTTGTTTTTACTCATGTTTGGCCTTAATCCAGAAGCGGAACATTTATTTCGCTGTTCTTAAAAAAAGGAAATTCTGTGGAGATCAACAAGAACTTGCTTCTTGAAATAGGTGCGCATTGAAGCCCCCGTTGTTTCACTTTTTTAGAATCATTCAGGTGATAGAAGCGTCCAGTACAACTTCAGCTTTCCTAGGCCCCTCTGGGCCATGTTTCATCCTTCTGTAGACCTGACTTACACATAACAGTTCCTGAGGAATGTTTAGCCACAGGTGCTTGGAAAGAGAAGTGTGAGCCTGGATCGGCTGGAGCAGCAGGCTGTTATCGTGGCAAACTGGGCAAGACAAATCTGGTCTGTGTGAACTGACAGTGAGAACTCCCAGCAGTTGCTGAGGGGAGAATTCAATACCGTAAGCTGTCTGTGTAAAAGGTATCTGCCCCAAGTAACTTAATTAGCACTACTTAATTTCAGGTCCTGCAGTGAAAGACACAGGGCTGGAGAAAGCAAGAATTTATCTGAAGCGTAGTCTGCTATAGAGACAGTGACCAGAAATACTGAAAGGGAAAAGGCAGGCTGACTGGCTGCTCTGGCCGACCTGCCCCTTAGTACCATATTGCCGCGGTCTCCAGAGGGTAAAAGTGAGTATCATCCCGCTTAGCCTGTGAAACTCATTGCAGCAGACTGTTGGAACCGCAGGCTTAAATAGAACAGCTCAGAAAGCGATAGTCTTGCTTGCTGCCTCTAGGCAGATTGAATTAAAGGGATTGGTGGTCTGTGGCTTGGGGAGATAACCTTAGCCTCACCTGAGGCTGGAGAGAAGAACTGGGTTTTTGTTTGCGTATCTTGCAAGTCCCTTGCAGGACTGCCCAACAGGTCAGATGGATTGCGGTCTGGCACTGGAGGCAAAACAGTGCCAGAGGCAGTTCTGCCAAAATGGATGGCAAGGGTATTGCCACAGGCATCTACTTTTGCTAAGAAGTCAGCAATATGCAGTGCCTTCCTCAGGCTGCTGGACTGCTCTGGGGCTGTCTGTGTGATTTACCGAAAAATAACACGACTCTCCTGAAAACGTTGCAGAGTTTGGAAGGGGTGCATGGGCCGTGCCTTGTTGCTGAAATTCAGCTACCCCTGGAATGGGAGTCTGGTTGTCCATCAATGTTTCTTGATGGTACTGGCAGCTGATGAGCCTTGTGTGTGGAGTTGCATGTTGCTAAGATAACTTTCTGGTTTTTGCTAATTCATCTGGTGTCTTCTTTCTCCAGTTATGCAGTTATCGCCTATGGTTGTGCCAGCTGCCCCAAGCTGACCTGCGAGAGGGACGGTTGCCAGACAGAGTTCTGCTATCACTGCAAACAGATATGGCATCCCAACCAAACCTGCGATATGGCCCGCCAGCAAAGGGCACAGACACTCCGAGTACGGACCAAGCACACATCAGGCCTCAGTTACGGACAGGAATCTGGGCCGGGTATGGATTGCTGCGTTTCTGGTTACTCAGTGCTGCAGTTTTGCCTGTGAAGCTGAGAAGGAGCCACCTGTCGTGCAGAGCTTCCTCCAATCAAAGGAGGGGGGTGTTAGTGCCCTGCGGGGAACGCTGCCACATGGCACAGATGAGGGTCTCCAGCAGCAGTGGGTGAGAACAGCTGTGAAGCTGAGAGTCATTTCCCCTTCTCACGTGTAAGAGAATACATCTGGCAGGCTCTAACAAGAAGTCTGAATGTGAAACAAAACAGTCATAGGTGACGACGTGCATTTGGGCCCTTCCTCAGCACTCCGTCTCTCCTCATCCGCCCCAGCTATGCCTGTGGCTGTTTTGATCTCAGATGTTCTCGTTTCTTGCTGATCTAAACTTTGAACAAATAAGCACTTTTAACCCTTGCAACTTCAACTCCAAGTTTGCCTGCTGCAGCAGGCAAAAGCAGCCTCACCCAGTGTGGGGAGCCTCGCTCCGTGCGCTGGTAGGTGTTAGTAATGTCAGCTACAGGAAAAGTGCCAACCCACAGACTCCTACGCTGCCTGGTGGGAGCTGCTGTGTCTACTGAGTTGATGTTCTTTAAAAATAGCTGAATTATTTTGGAAGTGGGCAGTAAGGCTGTTTCATAAAGTCCCTCCCCACCCCCAAATAAAGCATATTACTTCTAGCGTGTCAGGAATGAAAATGTTAATACGCTCACTCAGAACGCAGCTACCGTGAGTGGTTCAAAGGTGGCTCAGCTCTACGTCAGGGTTCAACGTGCCTCAGTTAGAGGGCCCTGATAACGGACAGCATAGACACTGCCACAGGCTGTGCTGCAAACCAGCAAGCAAAAAAGTAGTCCCTGAGCTTTTCACCCTGTCAAAGGAGATCCCTGCCAGGGAGGACTTAGAGCTTAGCCACGGAAAGGAGATTCTTGAGAGAGTGGTTTTTCTCCACCCTGTCCTTGCTGAATTCAGTGCAGTGATTAATAAGGTGCGAGCTGGTCTCTCAGCAGCTGGATTTCATATTGTCAAGGGTTATAGACACTGCCAACAAAGCCCTGAACTGCACAGACCATTACAGCCATTGCGTAACTATGATCAGATGACACTTGAATCAAAGAAGAGATGAAGGACCCTTTATCCTATTCTGCCAGCAGCAAATTGGAGACTACACAGCATGTGCACCAGACTCGTGTGCTGCTGCTTGCTCATTTCCCCCTTCTGTGGGCTGCTTTTGAAGGCCAGATTCAGAGTTTCTCTGAAGCCTTGTTCTCCCAATTGTTCTGTCATTCTTGGCCCGTGAATCACCTTAGTGGAGCAATTTAATAATGGTTCTTGCTGACACTGTTGACTTGGCTAGCACAGGGCAGGTATAACTTGTTCCTAGGATTTAAGCATGTTCTGGAATAGATCCCATTCAAGCCTAGAATAAGCTTTTCAAATGACTGTTGTTCTCAGTCTCTGCTGTCCAGACAAATAGCTTTGGTAGGATCTGGCTCTTCAGTATTATCTTCTTGCTCTGAAGATAAACTAAAGACAGAACCAACGGGTTGTATCCATCCCCACTTTGTCTTTGGTGAGCGAAGGTGATCGGCCTGCACAGAACTCAGGGGTTTCTCGACATGATGAGATCTCCCTTGCTGGTTATTGATACTCCCAGCACACAGAGTCCAATTCGATCCTTTGCTTCCTTCCCATAGCAGATGACATCAAACCATGTCCGCGTTGCAGTGCTTATATCATCAAGATGAACGATGGGAGCTGTAACCACATGACCTGTGCAGTGTGTGGCTGTGAGTTCTGCTGGCTGTGTATGAAGGAGATCTCCGATCTGCATTACCTCAGGTGAGAAGAAAAGCAACACATGTGGGTTCCTGTCACTGTGGTAGCACCCACTTCTCTAAGGCTGCTGGGGGGGGGTGGGGTTAATTGCATGCACTTGCCTTTCATCCTCTTGCCTCTCCAGAATAAGTCAGCAGAACTTTTTTATTTCTGACCTAAAGGTCTGAACTTTCTTCCTGCATTAAAGTAAGGAGGCTGTTCCATACCAGGAAAGGCTCAATTGCCTGATAAAATTGCTTGCGAGAGCTCTTAGCATACTGGGTATTAAGCATAGTCCCGGTCGTATGATAATCACCTTGATGAGCAAATTAATCTTGGTGGAGAAGAGGAGGGAACCCATTTTCTAAGTTTCATTTTTTGTTTATGTGGATGTGGAACTTGGTGTTCTTGGGAACACTTAGGAATTGTGGAGTTTTGTGTTTCTAATAAGTGACTTGTTTCCTTCCATTACAGCCCCTCTGGCTGTACGTTCTGGGGCAAAAAGCCATGGAGCCGTAAAAAGAAGATTCTCTGGCAGCTGGGCACACTGATTGGGGCTCCTGTAGGCGTCATTGGCATCCCTGTGTATGTCGGGAGAAAGGTAAGTGTGGAGAGTGCAAGACTGGAGCTGTGGGGTGTGTAGCTTGGAGTATTCTCTGTAGCCAAGGCATCGGCCCAGAAATTTTGCCCTGATACGAAGGGTGGATCTTTTCATAAAACTGAAATTCGGTTGTCTCTTCTAGAGCTTGTCTTATCTCTTGAGCTTTGTATGGCGAGAGGGAAGGTGGTGGCTGATAGCCCTTCAGACTGAAGTCCTCTCAAATGAATATCGTGTTGCTATTGTGCCCCTGCGTTGAAGCAGGAGCACCCGGGGAGAGTCCTGGCCCCTTTTGACATAGCCTATGACAGGGCCTCTATGAGGCAGTGGCTAGACCCTGGCCATCACACCTTGCCTAGCATAAGTCGCTGATGTGTTTTGATGCTGAGGCGCTGCCAGGCTTTGGCTGGTTCCAGCTGCCTTGAACTGCGAGATACTGTTGCATGTCGTGCTGATAAGAAACCAATGAGAGGGAGGAGGTGGCATGTCAGCACTCTGTTCGTAGCTTCTTCTTTTTCTTAAACACAGACCCACCTGCCAGATCTGATCTGTGAGGAGATCTGTGGTCAGGATGAGGTTCTTCATAGGCTAATGCAGCTGACAGGGCTGTAAAAATCACAAGTTTATTAATATCTTCTGCTGATGTTTGCTCCTGGCCAGGCTGCATTCTCACCTGCTGCTTCTCCTTCCCTCAGATCCACAGTAGGTACGAGGGAAAGAAAACGTCTAAGCACAAGAGGAACTTGGCCATTACCGGTGGGGTCACCTTGTCTGTCATTGCCTCCCCAGTCATTGCTGCTGTCAGCGTTGGTAAGTGGGTACTGTCCGTTTCCCTTCCATGGGCTGGTAATCATAGAGACAAATGACTAGCTGCACCCTGTGAGGGGTGGCCGAAGGGCAGTTTGTAGACTTCTCCTGTGTGCTTTCCTGGGCACTTCCTTCCATTTTGCATGCAGGCTGCACAGCCTCGTGTGCTAGAATTGGCCTGGAGCACTGGTTACCCATGCCACAGCCTGCAATGGGGTCCCTTGGCACGTGTCTTTCTCTTACCCAGGGGCTGGTTTGGCGGCTGATGCCTTGGGGGGTTCACCTGAGGCTATCTGTGCTCTTGGGGTTCCCTCATCCTGACTGTAGCAGTACAAGCCAAGGGGTCCTCCACTGGTGGATTCTAGGACCCTTTTGTGTTAAAGGCAGCATAAACACAACTTTGGGGTAGGGACTCTTTCCAGAGTCCTCTCTGCCTGGCCAGTTCAGCTTAGCTCAGCCTTAAGCTCCTCTTAACTCAGCGCGTCCTCTTCTCCAGGTATTGGAGTCCCCATCATGCTGGCTTACGTCTATGGTGTTGTGCCGATCTCCCTCTGTCGAGGCGGTGGCTGCGGAGTTAGCACGGCCAATGGAAAGGGTGTGAAAATAGAGTTTGATGAAGATGATGGACCAATCACAGGTAATGTGGTAACTGGTGAAGGGAAGGGGATAAAGCAAGACCCTATCATTGCTTCTTGTAATGAAATGGCAGGGGACTTATGTTTTGCAAATCTGTTTTTTAGTCTTTACTTGGGTTTGGCTAGAAGCAGTGATTCACTGCGGTCTTCTGCTGGTGATCAGCTGTGTAGCTCTTGTAGCAAAATCTCAGCTCTTCCTTTGGCTGCTGGAGGCAGGGAGAGAGTCTGAGATGAAAAACATGCTGCCTGGTGTCTCATTCCCAGCTCTGCCAGTGCCGTCACAGCCGAACAGTTCCTCTGATACCCTTGCTGTTCTTCCCCTCAGTGGCTGATGCCTGGCGAGCCCTGAAGAACCCCAGCATTGGTGAAAGCAGCATTGAGGGGCTGACCAGTGTGCTGAGCACCAGCGGGAGCCCCACCGACGGGCTCAGCGTGATGCAGGGCAACTACAGCGAGACAGCCAGCTTCGCCGCCCTCTCGGGCGGTACCCTGAGTGGTGGTGTCCTTTCCGGAGGCAAGGGGAAGTACAGCAGGTAACTGAACTGGTGGTCACAGCAAGAAAGGGGTAAAGGATCCCAAAGTCTGTGCTAACTGGACAGGCTTAGTGTGGGGATCTGTCTGGGAGTGCGGGTGACCCTCTGTGTGCTCAGGAGTCCTGTCCTGCCCCGGTATTTTCATTTCTTGGTTTGCGGCAGACCAAGGTACTTCTGGAGTCAGTGTTAGGCTGCTTCTTGCCAAGAGAACAAAGACATAGAAACAAGTTTCTGTCCCTACTGAGCTCCTTGAAAGCCAGGGAGCTGATGCTTCAGGTTAACTGAGCACAGTACAGAGATGCCTGCGTGGCCTGCTTAAAGTTCTTCCAGTCCTCTGAGCCCAGCCTAGTGGTTTAAATGCTTCCTGTTCCCTAGTGGCCTAGAGCAAGCAGGGTTGCTGCTTTCCAAGTCAGAAGGTTACACCACAGTTTTCCTCCAAACTTGCCTGTGAGTCAGTCTGCTGGGTAATTAGAGACACGTGTTGATCTAGCAGCCAGGACATAATCATGACTCTGTGCTAGATCTGTGGAAATCTGTTCTTCGCAGGAATTGCATGAGTCATAGATATAAACACAACTTCACCTTCGTCATGGAAAACGGAATGAGTTTACCTAAATGGAGCCAAGAATGAGACTAAATGAAGAGAACCGTTGGGGTTAAACTCCTTGGTGCCAAGCTGGGCCAGCACAGTGGGCCACCTGGTTTCCCATAGCAAAGAGTGACTGTTTGGTGCCTTCAGGGACCAGCTAAGCCATTTCTGAGGAATTCTCTTCTTTCCTGCAGGCTGGAAGTACAGGCAGATGTCCAGAAGGAGATTTTTCCCAAAGACTCGGTTAGCTTGGGGGCTGTCAGTGACAACGCCAGCACTCGAGCCATGGCTGGCTCCATCATCAGCTCCTACAACCCCCAGGACAGGTAGGACATGTAAAGATGAGGAGAGTGGTGGGGATCCTGGAAAAATCTGTTCTCTGTGGGGCACCACTGTCAGGGTCGAGATGATTGTAGGTGCACCGGCCTGCTCTTTGTAGCTGGCAGGCGAAGTGGTCCTCTTCCTCACACAGGAGGAGGACTGGGACTGTTTGGAAGCAGCCTCCACATGTAATGCAGAGGCTGAGAAAGAGATCTGATGTTCAGGAGTCTTGAGGTCTGTTCCTAGCTGCTCACAGGCTCTCTGGTGCTTTCCCAGTTCATTTCCTGGCTCACAGCACAGGGATTGTCTTGGCTGTCATTGAGAGGAATTCAAGGAGAGCAGGGAGTCTTCTTGTTCCTCAGGTGCCATAGAGTGATAAGCAGCATCATGCTCATGCCTGTGAAAGGTGCTCCTGGTTCAGCGGCGCGGTGCCAGGTGGTGACCCTAGCCAGTCCCCCAGTGACTGTACCTGGTAACATGGCGGCGCTTGTTCCTGCAGGGAGTGCAATAACATGGAGATCCAGGTGGACATCGAAGCCAAACCAAGTCACTACCAGCTGGCCAGTGGCAGCAGTACAGAGGATTCGCTGCATGTCCATACCCAAATGGCAGAGAATGAGGAAGAAGAGGAGGAAGAGGAAGAGGATGGTGAGCAGGAGCAGACATGCAGACACCAAAGCTGTGAGCAAAAGGACTGCATTGCCAGCAAAACCTGGGACATCACCCTGGCCCAGCCTGAGAGCATACGGAGCGACCTGGAGAGCTCTGACAGTCAGTCGGACGACGTACCAGACATTACCTCGGATGAATGCGACTCCCCCCACTCTCAGACTGCAGCAGCCTGCCCACAGACCCCCAAAGCTAGAGGTGCCGAGAGCCCAAGTGCCCACCTGAGCCACTGTGCCCAAGCAGAGGGGTGCAGGCTAGAGGAAATAGTCAAACTGGAGTGCATCGAAGCCAGAGTATGAAGTGGCCTCCTGCTGAGAAGCACACTTGCTGTCATTGCATCTTTTGGGGCAGGATTGTGTCCATGTTGGCTTCTGTTTGCAATTCTCCAGTTGGCTCCCCAGCCTCTCCTTGGGCAGCTGCTGTTTCGTACATGACAAAAGAAAAAACATCCCCCGCCCTCTTTTTGTTTTAATTTATTGGTTCAAGCGCTTGATAGTGCTCTGTGAGGTATGTAAGAGTGTAAATATGTACGTGTGTCTGTATGTCTGCAAACATCCTAAAGGACTGTTTGAATAAAGACTCTGGTTGTCATTCGACTCGCATCCAGCTCGTCCTTTCCAAAGATGTATGGTGAAATCCTCTCCCTCACTGGCTGCCTCTGCCCATTGCTCGAGTGCATGTGAGGACTGTCCTAGCCAAAAGCGTCTGCTTAGGGGAAATGAATGCATCTCCTCTGTCACTTCTAGAAAGTGAGGTGTGACAGCCCTGTTCTCCTGTCTGTGGTGAGGACGGGGCTGCTGCAGTGGCTGGACCTGCCTTGTCCTGGAGCAGTAACATGGAGGGGTCTGTCTTCTCCCACCTTCCTGTGCAGCAGGGCTGCGTAGGGGTTAAAAGAGAGGAAGGAAGAGGCAAGCCAAGTGCTGCCAGCCCCGGTGGTTGTGAGTAAGGGATCGGTGGTGGAACAAGCACAGCCGCCCCAGACCTACAGCTGGGACCTTGGAGACAGGCAAGTGTAAAGTCTGCGCCCTCTGCCTGAGCCACCTGGCATGGTGAGAGGCTGACCTGCATGGCAAGAGGCCCAGCAGCTGGCCCTGGGCCAGGCCCTTCCCCAGAGCAATCCTGGGAGTTGCTGTCCGTGTAATTAAAACGTTGGCGCCTTGTGTCTGCGATGTGCTTTGCAGAGAGCATCGCTTAGCACGGATCTCCTGCGAGCGAGGAAGGGCCACCCTGAAAGCAGCCCCTAGCGCAAACAGGGCTGAGCTGGGGATGCTGGAGCTGGGCTCTGAGAGGGCTGGAGGGGAAACAGGCTCCTACGTGAGCAGGATGGGTGCTGGGCTTCAGGCCTGCTCTTTCCACAGCATCTCTGCTCCCTGTCAGCACCCTCAGCAAGCCCTTGTCGTCACTGCAGTTGTTCTTGGTCTCTTGTGATTAGTGTCCCCCAGCATCTATCCCCCAGGGGTGCTTGGGGCTCCTGGAGGGTTCACTATGGCAATCAGTCATCTTTTGGGAAAGTCTGTGTCAGTCCTGACCCCTCTCCTTTCCCCTCTGTCTGCAGGTTGATCCCTGGTACCTGAAGGTGCCTGTCTCTGCCCTGGGTGGGTTGGCAGGAACCCACCCAGAGGGGCTGATCCTTCCCTGATCCAGATCCGGTGCAGTGCTGGGAACAGGGCATGAGGGCAGCCCTGCGATGGGCATCCTCATGGAGCTGGGGGGGTGGCAGCACCCTGGGTGCCCCGTGCAGGGCTCGGAGCTGGCACCCATCCCGCTGTGGGAGCCGGGATGAGCAGGGATCCTCCGCGGCCAGAACAGGCTCTTCACCGGGTGAAACCCTGCCCTGATGCGGCAGCAGGCACTTGCAGCGGTCTTGGTGCTTCCCAGGTAAGGGCTGGGAATGGTGTGCAGGGCTGGGTGCAGGATGTGGCCGGAGGGGCCTGCCCCATGGGGCGAAGGGCTCCCGAACATGGGGCACAGGCACGCTCGGCATGGCACAGCATGGCATGGCGGCTTGGCAGCAAGGCAAGCACAGGGGTGGGAACGGGCCGTGCTTCACCTCTGCGGAGGCAGGCGAAGGTGGAGTTATCCCTTTGTTTGGGCCTGAGGAGCTGGTCTGACGGGAAGCAGCGCTGGCAGCGAGGCGCAGCAGGAAGGCGGCCAGCCCTGGCGCGGCCCCAAGGGCAGCCGGCTGCGTGGGGGACCCGGGTGGCCCCGACCGCCGGGCTGGGGCTGAGCACGGGGCAGGGCCCTGGGCACCAAGATGCTCTGATGGCCTGATCTGGGGGCAGCAAAGAGGTGTCAAGAGGGTGAGTCCGGCCCCAGCATCCTCCCCGGGGTCGTCACGACAGGAGGGTGCCCTGGCTGTGCCCCATGGCTCCCATTTCCCTCCTATGGGGGAAACTGGGGCATGATGGGACCCCCCCCCTTTCCTGGAGAACGAGGGGGAAACGCGGGAGC